CTAATGATTTTTGCCTCACCGCCACATATACCTATATATCTAGTATAGTTTTAAAAATATTCACGATGTTACAACTATATCCTGTTATTTTTGTCCCTCCGGGTCTCCTCTACATTACTTTATATTTCTTTTATTTTTTCTCCAAAGTTATTTACTCCATATACATAAAAGATATATTTTATATATACATATATGAAATATATACATATATATTAATTATTTAAAATTTTTAAAAATTATATATTTAAAATACTGTGTGATATTCCAATTGACATTCCAAGAGGCATTAGGTGTTGTTATTATTTCGCTTCAAAAGCGACAATTCTATAACTAATTTATTTTTTGAGTCGGCAGGTTTTTGTGTCCGGGTATTTTAATCCGAAGTCTAGCTCCTGTTGCAAACCATTTCTTCGTTGGATGGAATCAAGTTTCGAATTAAATCCGAGAACTTATCGAAAGGACACAGAGTTTCACAACCTGGGATTGTAAGCTCGTCGAAGATCGGCGGAATGCCCCGATAATATAAAAGCTGTAAAATAATCAGTTAATAATGATATAAAATAATTAAATTTATATTTTGAATATATTTTTATTAATAAATGTAATTCAAACTTTTTCATTCACGCTTACATTTTCAAAAAAATGGTTCCAAAAGTAGGAAAATTATTAATATATTTATGTCTAATTGTAAATAGAATTTATTCTACTCCATTTCTTTACTTTTTAATGAGAAATTATCTGTTTTTTATTAATATATTATTATTTAGAGACTTTGTACATGTTTGATAATACACACCTTCACATAATACTGATTGTTTTCCTCTAATAATTCTAAAACAACAGCGCTAGAGTATTCAGGTACATGAGGCTCGTACACGTTGAACGCGTGCAACAGTGCTGCAACATTAGTTTCATGTCCACTATATAAATAAATTTTTGTTGACAAGCTCCCATTTTGTACAGTTTGCATATTTTTCGTAATGGCAAGAATTATTGGGCCTATAAAAAAAATAAAAGCTTGTACTGTATGAGATATTGTAGGAGAGATATTGTAAGAGAGATATTGCAATATATTATGGCTCCGATTATGGCTCTTACCAGCATATATCCTCTTTAATAATTCAGTAGAACTTGCAATATCGTATGCAGCTACGATCCCATCAAATAATGTACCATTCGGAAAATATTCATGCGCCCAACTCGGAAGATGCAGACCCATGGATGACTCTGCTACGAAAGTGTGATACAGGTAAAACATATCCCAAGGCGTCTGGATCTTCTTACCGGTTAGTACCGTTAAGTTATTCATCATATCTGTAAATTGGGACATTTTTTCTTGTATCTTAGGCAAATTTAGCACTCGATCGTACTCCTCAAGAAACCTGAAAATATGTCAGATGTAGATTCCTTTTCTCGTGAATTTTCGGATTTTTTTCAAATATAATACGTATATCTTTCTTGCATCCTTCCTTTATATTCACAAATAAAGTACAAATTTATAATATATTAAAGTTATCAAAATATTTTTTCTCTTAGTTTAAAAACTCTACATTTTTAGCTTCCCAATATCCCAAAATATAGCAAAGAATTAACATCAATTTTATTTAAACAAAATAATTTTTTGTTCATTTTTCTATTTTTTTTTTTTTAAGAACAGTCATGCTTACTGTGGACATTCGTCAGCTAAGAAAAAATTATCGTCATTTCGTGACACGTATGTCGTCGGAATCGGTTGCCAATTTAATGCAGGATTCCATTGTTGTTCAGTTCCTAATGGCGGAAACAAGCCGGCGAGAACTAGTTGTAGAGACATTTTCGTTCTATCATAATCAGAACTGTGACCCGAACAGAGTTTTGGCAGATACATATCTCCCAAAAAGTCTGTGTATTTGTCCCGCAATTTTGTTCCTAATCGATGTTCGCGACGCTTGCCTTGCTAAAAATAGCATTAATTATAATGATTGATTGTCAAAATCTATTACTCAGCCTTACAATTAGATTAATACTACGATTGAACTACATATATATTTAATTAATATCATCTCTGTACTCAACAAATACTAGTTTTACAACATCCAAAACATTTATAATTGATTTAAGTATAATCAAATTTCATTTATCGATATTAATTGAAATTTTGCATAAATTAATTTAATTTAATGCATTTTAATTTATTCTTCCCATGCTGTGTCGCTTTTTTCAAAAAAATTTGAAAGAACGTGCTCTACTTACATTGGTCAACTGTCCCAAGCCCTCCGGATAGAAGGCGTAATTTAAATGCGGATCGTTTGGATACATTTCGTATCCGTTGTTATCAGGTGTCCGATCACCATGCCTAAATACCTGCATAAAAATAAATTGATAATAACACTGTCCAATACCATTTTGCAACACAAGTGTGAATAGTAATTTCTCTGATGTATTTTTGCCCGCAGAATATGAATCTGTTGTCCAAATTTGACTATTACGTCATAATTTTTAGAAAAATATTTAAAAATGCGCAAAATGACATTTTTGAGAGTTTTTTGTTATAATACTGGTGTAGTTTGTTATAATACCGATAACAAATTTTTTTAATTTTTGTTAATGCTGCGCGACTGTATCAACTTTTATTAGCTTCAAATTTTTATTTTGATATGAAACGCTTCCATTTTCAGGATATAGCAATTTAAATATAGTTCTTTTCCCTGCATGTAATGCTTGGAAAAGACATTTTGTTCCACCTTAATACTGTATTTTTCTCATATAGCAGAATACACATAATTTTCTTGTCATATACTATTTTTTCAATTTTATATTGCTTTTTAATTTAGTATATGTCCAATTATGTTATATAAGTACAAAAGCATTTACTTTTACAGAAATATAATTTAATATTGGCTAATTTAAGATTGAAAATTATTTATTTTGATTATTAGAAGCATTGAATAACAGTGCTTTTAATACTCAACTCTTATAGTCAATTAACTCTTGAATATTCGGAATTTTTCCAAATATGTATATCTTTCTTGCATCCTTCCTTTACATTCACAAATAAAGCACAAA